GAAGATCATCCCTGTGACTTTTCATTTGAGGACTGAAAAGGCTCCTCAGCCACTCAGCCCAAGTTCTGACTTGTCATTTAATAAATAAATAAATAAAGGTCACCTCAACCAGAATTCTATTGTCATTTCGTTGCTGGGAAATGGATCTTAGGACATCAGATGCATAGACTATTCTGTTTGTCACCGTGTTGCTCTCAATGCTGAATGTATGGGGTAAGGCCAAGAAAATTTAAATGTTTCAATTTGTGCAGGGCTTATTGTTTGATGGATTTTAATTTGCAAATTCGTGGGAAAATCAAATATCTTTTAATTGTTTTGAAACATTTGTGAACAATTTGCACATAGCCTTGAAAACTGTTTGGGAAAATAAATATTATATAACCAAATTGTACATGTAATTTAAAACATTTAGCTTTTTATCTTGGCCGTATTTCAAACTCTGTCAAAAGAGTGCATTTCATTGACTTGCTGTTTCACGGATAGGGTTAAAGTGAATTCAGTTTGCAGAATGTATTGCTTGGTACCTGATGTCTTAACTAGATTGGTACCTGATGTCTTAACTAGATTGGTACCTGATGTCTTAACTAGATTGGTACAAACTTTTCAGGCTGCCTGGGAGGTATTGAGGAATAAGACAGGCGTTAATCTACATGGACATTGCAACAACGTGCTGCAATGGCTGTAGTGTCGCCATATGTATGCGATACCTACGTTGTCGCGACGTTTTGGATAAACGTTGTAGCAACGTAAAAAATGGATGTTGTGACAACGTCTTGATTTGGTTGTATTTTGGTTTACGCACAACGTTGTAGCAACCAATCTGGGAGTCTACAGATTTACGTTGTGACAACGTTACATCACAACGTTGTAGCAACGAAAAGTCAACGTTGTCACAACGTAGAATTGTTTGCTGGGTTACCACTGCGCTGTCATTACAATTATGAACTCAAATGCTTCTTTTATCAATTCCAGATCTGTACTTGGAAGATACCAGCTGTAATAGGGATGCTGGACGTGCGGAGCTTGAACGAACAGAACAACTAACCACGCCTCCGATGTGTGATTGTTATGACGTCATGTCACGTGACTTGCTGCAAGCAGTAGAACCTACCGCGTGTCGAAATTTGCCGCGCCCATAACTTACAAGTACGTTTCACGAGCAAGATCATTAGTTGAATCAGAAATGAAGTCTGACCGATTAATATTATTTGGACACGCGCATATCAAATATGTTTTTCCCTTTATGTATTTTAGTTATTTGTTATATTTCTTTTTATTAGCCACACAATAAAATTCTGATTTTGCATTTTGCTTCTATGGAGAGGGTAAAGAATTCCTCGTGTGCTATTCCTTTTCCTGTCTGCACCAGACATGCAATCCATCATTTGCATCGATTTACACAATTGGGATACGATGACATGCATCAACCAAGTCAGCGAGCCTGACCACCCGATCCCGTTAGTCGCCTTTTACGACAAGCATGGGTTGCTGAAGACCTATTCTACCCCGGATCTTCCCGGGTGCAACACATAGTACGAGCAGTGAGAGATGAACGGAGGGCAGTTCCTCATGGCGGATTGACATTCATTTAGTGATAGTTATGATCATGTTAAATCACTCATCCTGAGTGTAATCTGTGAGTTATCTTTCGTCATACAATATTTGCACCAACATGTGGTCTGTGTTTTTTTTAAAAACATTTTGAAAAACTGATCGGTGTCCTTTCTTATGCTCTTTTGTTACAGCACTGTCATGTATTGGCGACCAACGTGTCTGTGTCTATCGATAATGAGATATAAAAACAAATTAATTAATTCTAACGAATGATAAAATTGTTGATCATATTTAATTGTATGGTTATGAAGTTATGAAGTATAAAATCATGTTTGGTTATATTTTATCTTGTGTATCTATGCGAACATACCGCGGATTCCAGACCTCAATACCTTTCCATGTTTTTCAATCAGGAACCATCTGAAACTCCACCTCTTCGTTTATAATAAGTATACCTAAATTAGTCCATTTCATTTGCGAGACAGATATAGTTGTTTTGAGGGTAATGGTTGTTTGAGTATTTAATGCACCATTTAAATCCGATGTCTTTGTTTTATCGACACTGTGAGTTTATCTGTAATGTTCGGTAGCTCTCCATTTCTACACGCGGTCTTGTTACTATGCATTGAGATGGCATTGCTTGTATTCGTGAGTTTGTACAATGAAGACAAGAACAACCAAAGTGAATGTTTCCGTCAGATTTTCTGGCGTCCTGAAAGGCACGGGTTGTTTTATGTCATGTTGTAGGAGGATTTGACAAGAAAAGAGTTTTAAAAGTCCTGAATAGTCCAGACAGATATCGGGCTTCATATCAGTCAAAGTTTTACATTCTGTTAAAACTTCGGCACACGCTCGCACATGTTTTATGTCGTAATACAGTGAATAAATCGCATAGATAAAAAAAAACACCTAAAAACTAATAGCTGGGCTCCGTCTCGTCACATCAAGAGTTGACGCGCCTAGATTTGCTGGTTCCTGCGGTCACTCGTGAAATAGACAGAAAGTCTTGTATCGGTGTCTAATCGGGCTCGCGGCGGAAACCATCGGTGCGCATATAGAGAGCCAGGACCTCTGGAATCTGGAAGCCAAATCGCGAAAGCTTGCGTCGCGTGCCAAGTGGAACCAGTGCATACTAGTATATCAATAAGCACTTTACGCATGGAGCTGGGAAGGAGAGTGATCTATAAATGTCCCGGAATAACACGATTGGCTTGGTCCCGGCATTCGTCACCACTCGCCCCTTTCCGTAACCTGCATGTCCAGGAATATCACAAGTTGGTCACGAACGGTGTTTGGCTAAGTCACGACTGCGCCGGAGAGTGGTTAAGGTGGTTCCCGGCACCATATGCGCGTCGTCAACTTGCGCCAAACTATATATTAAAATATTATATAGAAAGTAGACAACAATCGTTTTATTTATGCTTGACTGATTGATCTTTGAAAGTTGTATAGGTTTTCGGGCAACGGGGCCCTTTTACATCTTGCCCATTATAAAGGTTAGCTAAAATCCACTTCTGACCGCACCGAGGTGCAAACTTAGCCGGCATTACTACTATGCGTATTATGTGTAACACTTTGAAAAGGAATGTCGCCGTGATACTGCTGTCACACCGCTACAATTTAATGTTGTACACATTTAGAAGTGATGACTAGGAGAATACAAAACCATCCATATGATTCCGCCCTTTCGTTGAGTAACGGACATTGACTTATTTCGTTGGTTTTAATAGTTGTATTTTAATAAAATATACCTGGAAAATATCAACATCGACCATGGTGTATTCCTATTCTGTTCCAGTTTCAATGTTTTCAACAGAAGTAATTATTCAGTTGGCCATATACATATGGCCACCACGGAGCACCTTTAGAATACAGTACCACAACTTCTCGTGAGGACGATCTCTGCCGTAGGTCACATGTCTCAAGACAAGCAACCAGTTTTCAGTGAGAATCCGTCGTACCCGAACCCGTGACCTTCGCATTGTAAGCCTGACAGCTAACCGACTGAGCTACGTCCACACTGTAAAACTTAGTGCAAATTTACCTAGTCATGCCTATGACGTTACGGAACTGAACGAAAGGGTCGAATAGGTAACGGACACTTACGAAGGTAACGGGTAGGAATGGTGTCTCGCGACTTTAGTCTACGGACACTTACGAATGATCCCGATGCCATTTGGCACACTCGTCCCATTCCGTAATCTACAAGATACCGAGTGGTGGGGAATGAGTCGATATGCCGCGAACTGAAAACGGCTCCAGGCGTCAGACGTCGAACTCGTGAGTACGCATGAATGATATGGTATTTAATAATTCGTAGGGTGATTTTTGTGACAGAAAAGTGTGGTAGGGAACACTGTAAGGATGATGTGGATAATAGTAAGGAACAATGGAGGAATAAGCATGACTAGTGACGACACAACGGTGAGTTCGCTTTTGAATCAGTACTGAAAAAAATGTAGCCGATTAAAGTGGCTTGTGTGAATGTTCCACGACAGTTTCCAGTAGCCAAAATATTCGACACAAAACCATTTCATTCTTTGTACGTTTTTGTGTGAAGAATATTAGGAGCCGCTATATAATCTATAATAGCCACTAAACGAGTACCTGACCCTAATGATCGTAAAGGGGTGATTGTTCGTAAAGGGGATCCAAGGGTTAAGGATAGACTTCGGGTAATCTAATAGCCACTAAACGGGTTCCTAACCCTAATGATCGTAAAGGGGGTGATTGATCGTAAAGGGGATCCAAGGGCTAAGGATAGAGAGTTCGGGGTAACCTACCCTAAAACTGGCGACATTTGGATGTGTTCAGCGCTAATATAATATCTCTAATAAACTGCATTCTTGTGCATAATAATGAAAATTAATGAACCAAAAAAATAATGTATGTATATTAGTTCCGATTTATAACCATTTTATTCACTTCAATTACGAGAAAAACGAAATAAAAAATATATAAAAAATAAAAGTGCTTTCGTAAACTAGCGCTTGCTCTAAAAAGCGCCGCCGCAGGCCATAATTAGTAAACAAATACTCAAAACTCTCAACACCGCAGGGCGTATTCAATGACATTGCGTGTAGAGATGATAGATCACTGGGCGGAGCTTATGCGCACTCGATGACCCCTGACGTGACTGGCAACAAAATACTACAAATTACGTCATAGGGTATGATCACGTGTTTGAAAAGTTTGTGGTACTGTATTCTAAAGGTAGGCATACACCTAACGGGATCGGGTGGTCAGGCTCGCTGACTTGGTTGAGGCATGTCATCGTATCCCAATTGCATAGATCGATACTCATGATGTCAGTCACTGGATTGTCTGTCTATTAACAGACCTCCGTCATATAGCTGGAATATTGCTAAGAGTGTGGTCTACTACTTGAGGTAGACAGGAACCCAGTCTAATCTAATACCGATGACGTCATAGACAATGAATGACGTCATAAACATGTAATGACATCACTAACAGAGAACCGTTCAGTTGTTGACCTCCAGCCTGAGGCTTTACGATAAGCGTAATGTAAACAATAATGTCCGAGAAGAAGAAAATTAAAAAGAAACCGAAGATGCACCGCGCCTACCAACCCGTCACCCCTGCCAATAACATATACTTGAAACAGAGATGGGATCAGGATATATTTTTTACTCACAGACGGAAGGTCGAGGCGGGTAGGTACAAATAATAACAGGCGTCTACATCTCAGTGTTGTTATTCATGGCTATTAACATTTGCTATTCAAGGTGTGTGTGTGTGTGTGTGTGTGTGTGTGTGTGTGTGTGTGTGCAAGGCGACACAAAATGGCGCCTGAAAACAGATGCGCCGGTGCACATCACTTACCAAAATGGCGGAAGGTGTCGGGTATAGGTCTACTGCATTCTTACCTGGTTACCATATAGACCCAGACCACAATGACATCATTTTTAGACATCAGACGTTCATATTTTGTTTAATTTCGATGCCTAAATGGAGTAACTTTCAAATGTATCTGGTCAAAATCCTTGGCAACAAACTGAGGCCAAAGAGACCTATTCCCATGTTATGTCATTCTAAAATCACACACACAGACACACGTTTTATTGAAACAACAATAAATGTAATAAACCACAACATAAGAATAAACGTATCTGCATGACTAGATGTATTATTAATCACATTTTTGTTTTGAATGCCATAATGAACCAGTGTGGTTCGTGGTCAACATGTTCGGGTTTACAAATGTTTGTAATTGTTATACTACCACAATATATGTTATTCTTATATCAAGGGGCGTTTTAAAAGTGTGTTCAAATTTGTCTGTTTGTCTATCTATCTATCTATCTATCTATCTATCTCAAACTCCGATAATGTGTTCCAGCCAAAGCTGTGATAGACAACAAGCCTCCCAAAACATACATGCACCTGCACATCAAGCTGAAGAAACTACAGGTGAAGTCTTTACTCTCTTACCATCAGCGTATGCACGTTCAACAGTCTAATATAAGATCTGACCGCCTCCGTGGTCTAAGTTTTGGAGTGTCTGCCTGGTAGAGCGGAAGGTCGGTGTTTCGCTCGCCTGGCCGTAATACCAAAACAATACTTGTTGCTACCCTGCCTAGAATTCGGCAATAAGGGCTGGACGACTGACCTGTGTTGTGCCTGTGAGTATTTAACCCTGGTGACCAGTGTGTTGTGCCTGCGGGTATTTAGCCCTTTGTTTCTGGTGACGGGTGTATTGTGCCTACGAGTACTCGACACAATGATTCTGGTGACTAGTGGGTTGGCCTGTGAGTATTTAACCCTATGTTCCTCGTGACCAGTGTGTTGTGCCTGCGAGTATTTAGCCCTATCTTTCTGGTGACGGGTGTGTTGTGCATGCGAGTATTTAACCCTATGTTCCTCGTGACCAGTGTTTTGTGCATGCGAGTATTTAACCCTATGTTCCTCGTGACCAGTGTATTGTGCATGCGAGTATTTAACCCTATGTTTCTGGTGACCGCTGTATTGTGCAAGCGAGTATTTAACCCTATGTTTCTGGTGACCATTGGATTGTGCATGCGAGTATTTAACCCTATGTTCCTCGTGACCAGTGTATTGTGCATGCGAGTATTTAACCCTATGTTTCTGGTGACCGCTGTATTGTGCAAGCGAGTATTTAACCCTATGTTTCTGGTGACCATTGGATTGTGCATGCGAGTATTTAACCCTATGTTTCTGGTGACCGCTGTATTGTGCAAGCGAGTATTTAACCCTATGTTTCTGGTGACCAGTGTGTTGTGCATGCGAGTATTTAACCCTATGTTTCTGGTGACCGCTGTATTGTGCAAGCGAGTATTTAACCCTATGTTTCTGGTGACCATTGGATTGTGCATGCGAGTATTTAACCCTATGTTTCTGGTGACCAGTGTGTTGTGCATGCGAGTATTTAACCCTATGTTTCTGGTGACCCCTTGTTTTGTGCAAGCGAGTATTTAACCCTATGTTTCTGGTGACCATTGGATTGTGCATGCGAGTATTTAACCCTATGTTTCTGGTGACCAGTGTGTTGTGCATGCGAGTATTTAACCCTATGTTTCTGGTGACCCCTTGTATTGTGCATGCGAGTATTTAACCCTATGTTTCTGGTGACCATTGGATTGTGCATGCGAGTATTTAACCCTATGTTTCTGGTGACCCCTTGTATTGTGCATGCGAGTATTTAACCCTATGTTTCTGGTGACCATTGGATTGTGCATGCGAGTATTTAACCCTATGTTTCTGGTGACCAGTGTATTGTGCAAGCGAGTATTTAACCCTATGTTTCTGGTGACCGCTGTGTTGTGCATGCGAGTATTTAACCCTATGTTTCTGGTGACCATTGGATTGTGCATGCGAGTATTTAACCCTATGTTTCTGGTGACCATTGGATTGTGCATGCGAGTATTTAACCCTATGTTTCTGGTGACCGCTGTATTGTGCAAGCGAGCATTTAACCCTATGTTTCTGGTGACCAGTGTGTTGTGCATGCGAGTATTTAACCCTATGTTTCTGGTGACCCCTTGTTTTGTGCAAGCGAGTATTTAACCCTATGTTTCTGGTGACCATTGGATTGTGCATGCGAGTATTTAACCCTATGTTTCTGGTGACCAGTGTGTTGTGCATGCGAGTATTTAACCCTATGTTTCTGGTGACCCCTTGTTTTGTGCAAGCGAGTATTTAACCCTATGTTTCTGGTGACCATTGGATTGTGCATGCGAGTATTTAACCCTATGTTTCTGGTGACCAGTGTGTTGTGCATGCGAGTATTTAACCCTATGTTTCTGGTGACCCCTTGTATTGTGCAAGCGAGTATTTAACCCTATGTTTCTGGTGACCATTGGATGGTGCATGCGAGTATTTAACCCTATGTTTCTGGTGACCAGTGTATTGTGCAAGCGAGTATTTAACCCTATGTTTCTGGTGACCATTGGATTGTGCATGCGAGTATTTAACCCTATGTTTCTGGTGACCAGTGTGTTGTGCATGCGAGTATTTAACCCTATGTTTCTGGTGACCGCTGTATTGTGCAAGCGAGTATTTAACACTATGTTTCTGGTGACCATTGGATTGTGCATGCGAGTATTTAACCCTATGTTTCTGGTGACCAGTGTATTGTGCAAGCGAGTATTTAACCCTATGTTTCTGGTGACCATTGGATTGTGCATGCGAGTATTTAACCCTATGTTTCTGGTGACCGCTGTATTGTGCATGCGAGTATTTAACCCTATGTTTCTGGTGACCATTGGATTGTGCATGCGAGTATTTAACCCTATGTTTCTGGTGACCAGTGTGTTGTGCATGCGAGTATTTAACCCTATGTTTCTGGTGACCCCTTGTTTTGTGCAAGCGAGTATTTAACCCTATGTTTCTGGTGACCATTGGATTGTGCATGCGAGTATTTAACCCTATGTTTCTGGTGACCAGTGTGTTGTGCATGCGAGTATTTAACCCTATGTTTCTGGTGACCCCTTGTATTGTGCATGCGAGTATTTAACCCTATGTTTCTGGTGACCATTGGATTGTGCATGCGAGTATTTAACCCTATGTTTCTGGTGACCAGTGTATTGTGCAAGCGAGTATTTAACCCTATGTTTCTGGTGACCGCTGTGTTGTGCATGCGAGTATTTAACCCTATGTTTCTGGTGACCGCTGTATTGTGCAAGCGAGTATTTAACCCTATGTTTCTGGTGACCATTGGATTGTGCATGCGAGTATTTAACCCTATGTTTCTGGTGACCAGTGTATTGTGCAAGCGAGTATTTAACCCTATGTTTCTGGTGACCATTGGATTGTGCATGCGAGTATTTAACCCTATGTTTCTGGTGACCGCTGTATTGTGCAAGCGAGTATTTAACCCTATGTTTCTGGTGACCAGTGTGTTGTGCATGCGAGTATTTAACCCTATGTTTCTGGTGACCGCTGTATTGTGCAAGCGAGTATTTAACCCTATGTTTCTGGTGACCATTGGATTGTGCATGCGAGTATTTAACCCTATGTTTCTGGTGACCAGTGTGTTGTGCATGCGAGTATTTAACCCTATGTTTCTGGTGACCCCTTGTTTTGTGCAAGCGAGTATTTAACCCTATGTTTCTGGTGACCATTGGATTGTGCATGCGAGTATTTAACCCTATGTTTCTGGTGACCAGTGTGTTGTGCATGCGAGTATTTAACCCTATGTTTCTGGTGACCCCTTGTATTGTGCATGCGAGTATTTAACCCTATGTTTCTGGTGACCATTGGATTGTGCATGCGAGTATTTAACCCTATGTTTCTGGTGACCCCTTGTATTGTGCATGCGAGTATTTAACCCTATGTTTCTGGTGACCATTGGATTGTGCATGCGAGTATTTAACCCTATGTTTCTGGTGACCAGTGTATTGTGCAAGCGAGTATTTAACCCTATGTTTCTGGTGACCGCTGTGTTGTGCATGCGAGTATTTAACCCTATGTTTCTGGTGACCAGTGTGTTGTGCATGCGAGTATTTAACCCTATGTTTCTGGTGACCCCTTGTATTGTGCAAGCGAGTATTTAACCCTATGTTTCTGGTGACCATTGGATTGTGCATGCGAGTATTTAACCCTATGTTTCTGGTGACCAGTGTATTGTGCAAGCGAGTATTTAACCCTATGTTTCTGGTGACCATTGGATTGTGCATGCGAGTATTTAACCCTATGTTTCTGGTGACCAGTGTGTTGTGCATGCGAGTATTTAACCCTATGTTTCTGGTGACCGCTGTATTGTGCAAGCGAGTATTTAACCCTATGTTTCTGGTGACCATTGGATTGTGCATGCGAGTATTTAACCCTATGTTTCTGGTGACCAGTGTATTGTGCAAGCGAGTATTTAACCCTATGTTTCTGGTGACCATTGGATTGTGCATGCGAGTATTTAACCCTATGTTTCTGGTGACCGCTGTATTGTGCAAGCGAGTATTTAACCCTATGTTTCTGGTGACCAGTGTGTTGTGCATGCGAGTATTTAACCCTATGTTTCTGGTGACTGCTGTATTGTGCATGCGAGTATTTAACCCTATGTTTCTGGTGACCATTGGATTGTGCATGCGAGTATTTAACCCTATGTTTCTGGTGACCAGTGTGTTGTGCATGCGAGTATTTAACCCTATGTTTCTGGTGACCGCTGTTTTGTGCAATCGAGTATTTAACCCTATGTTCCTGGTGACCATTGGATTGTGCATGCGAGTATTTAACCCTATGTTTCTAGTGACCGCTGTAGTGTGAAAGCGAGTATTTAACCCTACGTTTCTGGTGACGATTGGATTGTGCATGCGAGTATTTAACCCTATGTTTCTGGTGACCAGTGTATTGTGCAAGCGAGTATTTAACCCTATGCTTCTGGTGACCATTGGATTGTGCATGCGAGTATTTAACCCTATGTTTCTGGTGACCAGTGTGTTGTGCATGCGAGTATTTAACCCTATGTTTCTGGTGACCGCTGTATTGTGCAAGCGAGTATTTAACCCTATGTTTCTGGTGACCATTGGATTGTGCATGCGAGTATTTAACCCTATGTTTCTGGTGACCAGTGTATTGTGCAAGCGAGTATTTAACCCTATGTTTCTGGTGACCATTGGATTGTGCATGCGAGTATTTAACCCTATGTTTCTGGTGACCGCTGTATTGTGCATGCGAGTATTTAACCCTATGTTTCTGGTGACCAGTGTGTTGTGCATGCGAGTATTTAACCCTATGTTTCTGGTGACTGCTGTATTGTGCAAGCGAGTATTTAACCCTATGTTTCTGGTGACCATTGGATTGTGCATGCGAGTATTTAACCCTATGTTTCTGGTGACCAGTGTGTTGTGCATGCGAGTATTTAACCCTATGTTTCTGGTGACCGCTGTATTGTGCAAGCGAGTATTTAACCCTATGTTTCTGGTGACCATTGGATTGTGCATGCGAGTATTTAACCCTATGTTTCTGGTGACCAGTGTATTGTGCAAGCGAGTATTTAACCCTATGTTTCTGGTGACCATTGGATTGTGCATGCGAGTATTTAACCCTATGTTTCTGGTGACCGCTGTATTGTGCAAGCGAGTATTTAACCCTATGTTTCTGGTGACCAGTGTGTTGTGCATGCGAGTATTTAACCCTATGTTTCTGGTGACTGCTGTATTGTGCATGCGAGTATTTAACCCTATGTTTCTGGTGACCATTGGATTGTGCATGCGAGTATTTAACCCTATGTTTCTGGTGACCAGTGTGTTGTGCATGCGAGTATTTAACCCTATGTTTCTGGTGACCGCTGTTTTGTGCAATCGAGTATTTAACCCTATGTTCCTGGTGACCATTGGATTGTGCATGCGAGTATTTAACCCTATGTTTCTAGTGACCGCTGTAGTGTGAAAGCGAGTATTTAACCCTACGTTTCTGGTGACGATTGGATTGTGCATGCGAGTATTTAACCCTATGTTTCTGGTGACCAGTGTATTGTGCAAGCGAGTATTTAACCCTATGCTTCTGGTGACCATTGGATTGTGCATGCGAGTATTTAACCCTATGTTTCTGGTGACCAGTGTGTTGTGCATGCGAGTATTTAACCCTATGTTTCTGGTGACCGCTGTATTGTGCAAGCGAGTATTTAACCCTATGTTTCTGGTGACCATTGGATTGTGCATGCGAGTATTTAACCCTATGTTTCTGGTGACCAGTGTATTGTGCAAGCGAGTATTTAACCCTATGTTTCTGGTGACCATTGGATTGTGCATGCGAGTATTTAACCCTATGTTTCTGGTGACCGCTGTATTGTGCATGCGAGTATTTAACCCTATGTTTCTGGTGACCAGTGTGTTGTGCATGCGAGTATTTAACCCTATGTTTCTGGTGACTGCTGTATTGTGCAAGCGAGTATTTAACCCTATGTTTCTGGTGACCATTGGATTGTGCATGCGAGTATTTAACCCTATGTTTCTGGTGACCAGTGTGTTGTGCATGCGAGTATTTAACCCTATGTTTCTGGTGACCGCTGTTTTGTGCAATCGAGTATTTAACCCTATGTTCCTGGTGACCATTGGATTGTGCATGCGAGTATTTAACCCTATGTTTCTAGTGACCGCTGTATTGTGCAAGCGAGTATTTAACCCTACGTTTCTGGTGACCATTGGATTGTGCATGCGAGTATTTAACCCTATGTTTCTGGTGACCATTGGATTGTGCATGCGAGTATTTAACCCTATATTCCTCGTGACCGGTGTGTTGTGCCTGCGAGCATTTAACCCTATGTTTCTCGTGACCATTGTGTTGTGCATGCGCGGATTTAACCCTTTGCTTTTAATGACCAGTTTGTTGTGACTGCGTGTGTCCACAGATGGAGGGCGAGCGTCTCGCCATCGTGGAGCGGGACAACCGCATTCTGCTGGAGAAGATGGCGCATATCATGAGGACCGGCGGCTTGGTCGACAACGTCAAGCGCGACTACACGCACAAGAGGTAAGGGAGGTAACTCAGAGCACTCTCGTATACAACGTTTGTCGGCTGCAACCTTTTTTAATGCAAACACCTTCTATTAAATACAGGTTAACCTGTTTCCGTATTATGCAAGCTAGATTATTAAGCGTGTCATTTCTCCTTGTCTCCCACATGTTTAAGCTTGAACAAGACGAAGCGCCAGCGGGAACTGTTGCGGATCACATACGAGAATATGGCCATATTGAAGAGAATCAACGCCAAGGAGCCGCACTATAATCACATGAAGTGGGAGGCCGAGCATCACGTAAGGGAGGCGGCAGTAGATAGGTTCATGTGATCCATGGGGCGATGGGGTAGCCAAGAGATCAAGGCCCAGGTTCTATTCGCCACACAGGTACAATGTGTGAAACCCATTACTGGTGTTCCCCGCCATGATATTGCTGGAACATTGCTGGAACAATTCCTTAAATCTGCGTTAAACCTAGACTGGAAGCGTTCCCTGTTTGTAATATGATTTTATTTTAAATAAAAAAGATCCGAGATTTGTTTTTGTTTTCCTCTATCTTGCAATTGTATTTTTAGTTTGCTTTTAAGGTTATCACCACCATCATCATATTAGTCGTCATCCGCACAGCCATAAGCATGCAACATTTGAACCACATTTGTTTTTATTAATGGGGTCATTTTCATTCAGCCGATTTTCCGAAGTTCATCATGGAATCGTCCCGTGAATATCCGGGGTTGAATAGGTCTTCATCAACCCATGCTTGTCGTAAAAGGCGACTATGCTTGTCGTAAGAGGCGACTAACGGGATCGGGTGGGACTTGGTTGATGCATGCCATCGTATCCCAATTGCGTAGATCGATGCTTAAGATCATCACTGGATTGTCTGGTTCCGTCTCGATTATTTACAGACCGCCGTCATACAGCTGGAATATTGCTGAGTGTGGCGTTAAAAAACAAACACAAATCATCATGGAATGTCTTTTCAGCTTTATTAGGTCTTTTTCTGTGGCAAGAGTATCAAGGGGGTTATGATAGTGATGATGATTGTGGACGATGTCGATTGTACTGTTATTGTGATGTGGGCGAAAACTGTGATTATATCTATTATGATGGTGATGATGATGATGATGATGATGATGATGATGATGATGTTATCCGCTGTTACAGTGTAACCAGTCCTACATGATGAATGTAGCCAAGTACCGACATCACTGGCGGAAGGAACAACAGTGTTACCGTATCCGGAAACATCAGCAAGATGCGGCCAACAGGCGAATCAAGGACCAGGTGAGCACCTTTTTCCACACTCACAGAGCAAATAGCTGATTTTACGAGTATGTTTTCTGTTTTGTTTCTGATGAGCCCAGCTGAAAATAACGTTAAAAGAAGCAGGGGGCTACTAGGGGGCTGAGTATTTGTGGGCATTTCTTTGACCAAACGCCCTCGCGCCATGTCAGCAAGTCATGTCCTGGCAGCCCTACTCCTGCGTAATCTTCCTCCCACGTCAACATCCTACACCCTCTCACGTCCACATCCTACACCCTCCCACGTCCACATCCTACACCCTCCCACGTCAACATCCTACACCCTCCCACGTCCACATCCTACACCCTCTCACGTCCACATCCTACACCCTCCCACGTCAACATCCTACACCCTCCCACGTCCACATGCTACACCCTCCAACGTCCACGTTCCTACACCCTCCCACGTCCACATCCTACACCCTCCATCGTCCACATCCTACACCCTCCCACGTCAACATCCTACACCCTCCCACGTCAACATCCTACACCCTCCCACATCCATATCCTACACCCTCCCACGTCCACATTCTACACCCTCCCACGTCAACATCCTACACCCTCCCACGTCCACATGCTACACCCTTTAACGTCCACGTTCCTACACCCTCCCACGTCCACATCCTACACCCTCCATCGTCCACATCCTACACCCTCCCACGTCCACATCCTACACCCTCCCACGTCCACATCCTACACCCTCCAACGTCCACATCCTACACCCTCCCACGTCCACGTTCCTACAACCTCCCACGTCCACGTTCCTACACCCTCCCACGTCCACATCCTACACCCTCCCACGTCCACGTTCCTACACCCTCCCACGTCCACGTTCCTACACCCTCCCACGTCCACGTTCCTTCACCCTCCCACGTCCACGTTCCTACACCCTCCCACGTCCACATCCTACACCCTTCCACGTCCACGTTCCTACACCCTCTCACGTCCACATCCTACACCCTCCCACGTCAACATCCTACACCCTCCCATGTCCACATCCTACACCCTCCCACGTCCACGTTCCTACACCCTCCCACGTCCACGTCCCTACACACTCCCCTGTTCACATCCTACATCCTCCCACGTCCACATCCTACACCCTTCCACGTCCACATCCTACACCCTCCCACGTCCACATCTTCCCACGTCCACATCCTACACTCTCCCACGTCCACATCCTACACCCTCCCGTGTCATCCTACACCCTCCCACGTCCACGTCCCTACACCCTCCCACGTCAACATCCTACACCCTCCCACGTCCACATCCTACACCCTCCCACGTCCACGTTCCTACACCCTCCCCTGTCCACATCCTACACCCTCCCACGTCCACATCCTACACCCTCCCACGTCCACATCCTACACCCTCCCACGTCCACGTTCCTACACCCTCCCACGTCCACGTCCCTACACACTCCCCTGTCCACATCCTACACCCTCCCACGTCCACATCCTACACCCTTCCACGTCCACATCCTACACCCTCCCACGTCCACATCTTCCCACGTCCACATCCTACACTCTCCCACGTCCACATCCTACACCCTCCCACGTCATCCTACACCCTCCCACGTCCACGTCCCTACACACTCCCCTGTCCACATCCTACACCCTCCCACGTCCACATCCTACACCCTCCCACGTCCACATCCTACACCCTTCCAGGTCCACGTTCCTACACCCTCCCACGTCCACATCTTCCCACGTCCACATCCTACACTCTCCCACGTCCACATCCTACACCCTCCCACGTCATCCTACACCCTCCCACGTCCATTTCTGCCCACTTCCCCACGTCGCAACGCTTCCACATCCCCCTATGTCCCCACGTCCCTACGTCCCCATGCCTCAACGTCTCCACGTCCCCACGCTCCCATGTCCACATGCCTCCACATCCGTCCACGTCCCCACGTTCCAACGCTCCGACGTCCACATCCGCCCTCGTCCCCACGCCTCAGCGCACCCACGCTTCCACGTCCCAATATCCCAGCGGATCCATGCCCCACGTCCCCACGTTCCTTCACCCTCCCACGTCCACATCCTACACCCTCCCACGTCCACATCCTACACCCACCCATGTCAACATCCTCCCACGTCCACATCCTACACCCTCCCACGTCCACATCCTACACCCTCCCACGTCCACATCCTCCCACGTCCACATCCTACACCCTCCCACGTCCACATCCTACACCCTCCAACGTCCACATCCCACTTCCCCACGTCGCAACGCTTCCACATCCCCCTCGACGTCCCCACGTCCGCACGTTCCTACGTCCCCACGCTCCCACGCTCGTCGCCAAGCTCAACGTCCCCATGTCCCAATGCTCCCACGCTCCCACGTCCCCACGCTCTCCCACGCTCCCACGTCCCCATGCTCCCACGTCCCCACACTCCAACGTCCCCACGCTCCCACGTCGCCACACTCCCACGTCACCATGCTCCCACCCTTCCACGTCCCCACACTCCCACGTCCCAACACTCCCATGTCCTCACGCTCCCACGTCCCCACGCTCCCACGTCCCCACACTCCAACGTCCCCACGTCCCAACGCTCCCACGCTCCCACGTCGCCACACTCCCACGTCCCCACGCTCTTACGTCCCCATGCTCCCACGTCCCCACGCTCCCACGTCCCCACGCTCCCACGTCCCCACGCTCCCACGTCCCCACACTCCAACGTCCACATGCTCCCACGTCCCCACGCTCCCACGTCCCCATGCTCCCACGTCCACATGCCTCCACGTCACCACTTCCCCAAGTCAACATGCCTCTACGTCACCATGCTCCCACGTCCACATACCTCCACGTCACCTTGCTCCCACGTCCACAGGCATCCACGTCACCATGCTCCCACGTCCACAGGCCTCTACGTCACCATGCTCCCACGTCCACATGCCTCTACGTCACCACGTCCTAACGTCCACATGCCTCTACGTCACCATGCTCCCACGTCCACAGGCCTCCACGTCACCACGTCCTCACGTTCACATGCCTCCACGTCACGACGTCCCAACGTCCACATGCCTCCACGTCACCAGGTCCCCACGTCCACATGCCTCCACGTCACCACGTCCCCACGTCCACATGCCTCAACGTCACCATGCTCCCACGTCACCACGTCCCCACGTCCACATGCCTCTACGTCACCATGCTCCCACGTCAACATGCCTCCACGTCACCATGCTCCCATGTCGACAGGCATCCACGTTACCATGCTCCCACGTCCACAGGCCTCTACGTCACCACGTCCCCACGTCCACATGCCTCCACGTCACCATGCTCCCACGTCCACATGCCTCTACGTCCACATGCCTCCACGTAGACAAGCCACTACGTCACCACGTCCCCACGTCCACATGCCTCTACGTCACCACGTCCCCACGTCCACATGCCTCTACGTCACCACGTCCCCACGTCAACATGCCTCTACTTCCCCATGCTCCCACGTCCACAGGCCTCTACGTCACCATGCTCCCACGTCCACATGCCTCTACGTCACCATGCTCCCACGTCACCATGCTCCCACGTCCACATGCCTCTACGTCACCACGTCCCCACGTCACCATGCTCCTACGTCCACATGCCTCTACTTACCCATGCTCCCAAGTCCACAGGCCTCTAAGTCACCATGCTCCCACGTCCACATACCTCTACGTAACCACGTCCTCACGTCGATCACCACGTCCCCACGTCCACATGCCTCTACGTCACCATGCTCCCACGTCCACAGGCCTCCACGTCACCAAGCTCCCACGTCCACAAGCCTCCATGTCCCCACGTCCTCACGTCCCCACGTCGATCACCGCTCTTCCACGTCCCCACACTCCAAAGTACCCATGCCTCTACGTCACCATGCTTCCACGTCCACATGCCTCTACGTCACCATGCTCCCACGTCCACATGCCTCTACGTCTCCACACTCCCACACTCCAAAGTACCTATGCCTCTACGTCACCATGCTCCCACGTCCACGTGCCTCTACGTCACCATGCTCCCACGTCCACATGCCTCCACGTCACCATGCTTCCACGTCCACAGGCCTCTACGTCACCATGCTCCCACGTCCACAGGCCTCTACGTCACCATGCTCCCACGTCCACATGTCCTCACGTCGATCACCATGCTCCCACGTCCACATGCCTCCACGTCACTACGTCCCAACGTCCACATGCCTCCACGTCACCAGGTCCCCATGTCCACATGCCTCCACGTCACCATGCTCCCACGTCCACATGCCTCCACGTCACTACGTCCCAACGTCCACATGCCTCCACGTCACCAGGTCCCCACGTCCACATGCCTCTACGTCACCATGCTCCCACGTCCACATGCCTCCACGTCACTACGTCCCAACGTCCACATGCCTCCACGTCACCAGGTCCCCACGTCCACATGCCTCCCATCACCATGCTCCCACGTCCACAGGCCTCTACGTCACCATGCTCCCACGTCAACATGCCTCTATGTCACCACGTCCCCACGTCCACGTGCCTCCATGTCATCATGCTCCCACGTCCACAGGCCTCCACGTCACCACGTCCCCACGTCGACATGCCTCTACTTCCCCATGCTCCCACGTCCACAGGCCTCTACGTCACCATGCTCCCACGCCCACAGGCCTCTACGTCACCATGCTCCCACGTCCACATGCCTCTACGTCACCATGCTCCCACGTCACCATGCTCCCACGTCCACATGCCTCTACGTCACCACGTCCCCACGTCACCATGCTCTTACGTCCACATGCTTCTACTTACCCATGCTCCCACGTCCACAGGCCTCTACGTAACCACGTCCTAACGTCGATCACCACGTCCCCACGTCCACATGCCTCTACATCACCATGCTCCCACGTCCACAGGCCTCCACGTCACCAAGCTCCCACGTCCACAAGCCTCCATGTCCCCACGTCCTCACGTCCCCACGTCGATCACCGCTCTTCCACGTCCCCACACTCCAAAGTACCCATACCTCTACGTCACCATGCTTCCACGTCCACATGCCTCTACGTCACCATGCTCCCACGTCCACATGCCTCTACGTCTCCAAACTCCCACACTCCAAAGTACCTATGCCTCTACGTCACCATGCTCCCACGTCCACGTGCCTCTACGTCACCATGCTCCCACGTCCACATGCCTCCACGTCACCATGCTTCCACGTCCACAGGCATCCACGTCACCATGCTCCCATGTCCACAGGCCTCTACGTGACCACGTCCCCACGTCCACATGCCTCCACGTCACCATGCTCCCACGTCCACATGCCTCCACGTCACCATGCTCCCACGTCCACATGCCTCTACGTCCACATGCCTCCACGTAGACAAGCCTCTACGTCACCACGTCCCCACGTCCACATGCCTCTACGTCACCACGTCACCCCGTCCACATGCCTCCACGTCACCATGCTCTCACGTCCACATGCCTCTACGTCCACATGCCTCCACGTAGACAAGCCTCTACGTCACCACGTCCCCACGTCCACATGCCTCTACGTCACCACGTCACCACGTCCCCACGTCCACATGCCTCTACTTCCCCATGCTCCCACGTCCACAGGCCTCTACGTCACCATGCTCCCACGTCCACAGGCCTCCACGTCACCAAGCTCCCACGTCCACAAGCCTCCATGTCCCCACGTCCTCACGTCCCCACGTCGATCACCGCTCTTCCACGTCCCCACACTCCAAAGTACCCATGCCTCTACGTCACCATGCTTCCACGTCCACATGCCTCTACGTCACCATGCTCCCACGTCCACATGCCTCTACGTCTCCACACTCCCACACTCCAAAGTACCTATGCCTCTACGTCACCATGCTCCCACGTCCACGTGCCTCTACGTCACCATGCTCCCACGTCCACATGCCTCCACGTCACCATGCTTCCACGTCCACAGGCCTCTACGTCACCATGCTCCCACGTCCACACGTCCCCACGTCCCCACGTCCTCACGTCGATCACCACACTCCCACGTCCACATGCCTCTACGTTCCAACGTCCCCACGTCGATCACCACGCTTCCGAGTCCCAACGTCGATTACAACGTCACCACGTACACATGCCTCCACGTACCAACGTACCAACGTACCCACGTCCCCACTTCCCGGAAATCACAATGTCGAATGTCGTTAAACGCGTCATTTCCATTAATTATAAATGCAATATGTTTTCTGTTTTGGACGTACAAACGTAATCACCGGTGTGCACACTGTGTCAGCCCGTGTGCTGCCGCACACACATGGCATACCTTAAATAAGGTCATGCCTGTTTATTTAACATTTACGGTATCCTCATATTCAGTGATATGTCCACTGTTGAAGGTGCTGATCCCTGACAAGACCTCACCCAAAGACTCGCTGCCTCCCTTACAGTCTAAGTAGAGGCCAACGTAGAGTATTTATGGCATGGCGTCATGTCCTTTCGCACATATTTATATTTTTACAGAATTTATTTGCTAGTACAGCTTTATAGCCCTAACTGTATTCATTGTATTTATTTTATAGTTGTGGGTAAGTGGAAGTGTCTTCTGGGAGTGTAATAAAATGTAACGTGGAAATGCGTTCCTTGGTTTTCTTCTACATCACGTGATGTGAACTGATGTTGTAACACAGGATATATGTCAAGCTTCGTATACACAGTAAAAATGTTTACTCCCCGATAAACATAACAGACGTATATATGAGTGTAGTATTCTCTCCTGGAGCGATTCAATCTCATTAAAATCAGATCTTAGTTCTCGCTACCGCTAAACAAAGATCCGAGGACCCGTCATGTCAGACCGACCTTGCGCGAACTTTGATCGACCAATGGAATGACTGACGAGAAGTCGACATTCGCCAATCAGAAGGCAGCTTACTCGTGCTTTGCGGCACTAATTTCAAATTGGTGACTACGCTTCGGAACATTTTTTGACAAATTCTCGATTAAAAATTTGAAACCTGAACAAAAGAACATTCTGGAATGGCTAATAGATGGTCTAGATTGTATGGATTCAGTCGTTAACCCCGTAACTATCGTTCGGAATACCCCCTGTAAAAAGTTTTCGGGGTTGCATGATAAGAAATGATCACATTCCGGGTGTCACTTTCATGATCTGGTAATCGACGCTCTGATTGGTCGGGTGAAAGGTCGTTCTGACGTGACCCCTAATTAGATGTCCTCAGATCTTTGTTTAGCGGTAGCGACAACTAAGATCTGATTTTAATAAGATTGGGAGCGTTTGGAAGTATACCATCTTGATGCGATTTGGATGTAGCGCGTGTATGCGTGGAGGTGTTATATTTAGTTATGGAGGTGTTACATTAGTTATAGAGGTGTAATATTAATTATGGAGGTGTTATATTTAGTTATGGAGGTGGTGTTATATTCAGTTATGGAGATGTTATATTTAGTTATGGAGGTGTTAAATTAGTTACGGAGGTGTTATATTAGTTATGGAGATGTTATAATCAGTTATGGAGTGTTATATTCAGTTATGGAGGGGTCATATTGGTTATGGAGGTGTTATATTGGTTATGGAGGTGTTATATTTAGTTATGGAGGTGCTATATTTAGTTATGGAGGTGTTATATTTAGTTATAGGGATGTTATATTTAGTTATGGAGGTGTTATATTTAGTTATGGAGGTGTTATATTCAGTTACGGAGTGTTATATTTAGTTATGGAGGTGTTATATTAAGTTATGGAGGTGTTATATTCAGTTATGGAGATGTTATATTTAGTTATGAAGGTGTTGTACTTAGTTATGGAGGTGTTGTATTTAGTTACTGAGGTGTTATATTTAGTTATGGAGGTGTTGTATTTAGTTATGGACGTGTTGTATTTAGTTACTGAGGTGTTATATTTAGTTATGGAGGTGTTTTATTAGGTATGGAGGTGTTATATTTAGTTATGGAGGTGTTATATTGGGCATGGAGGTGTTATATTAGGTGTGGAGGTGTTATATTCAGTTATGTTCAGGGATGTAGACGCTCTTGTCAGAATATTCCAACATTGGCGTCGAACAATGTTGAGTAAACATGTATCTCAGACATTCTCTGGTCCAAAGTAAATATTTCTAAACAACCATTATTCAGAAATATTTATTTGGAATGAACAAACCATAATTGGGACTTTGACATGGTTCGCGGAATTCGGAGTAAGAGGTAGTTTGATATTATACGAAACTTCACTGGGAGATCTCTCTTTCTCTTGATAAGCACACACAGCGCATGACAAGATTGGACAAATATCTGTTTATCTCAACCGGATTAGAAACATGCCTAAATGGCAAAGCTGTAAAGCAAATTATCTTTACCCTGCAACAAATACTGTTGGGGTTCACAAAATAAAGAAAAAACTACATTTAAAACTACTGATTATCGCTACACAATATGAAGTATAGAAGGCAAAACGAGCATGTTTTTATTAAATATTAAAACAACAATTACGCAAACTGTACAAGTTAGACAAATCCACAAGATATTCAAAATGCGATTTTAAGGATTTTTTGAAATGTTGGTCAACTTGTCATAAGTTTGATTAGTATGAATTTAAACCAACTTATTCAGCAAGGTTGTATTTGAACGCTACCTATTAATGGGCTAATTAGTTATTCCTCGTATGTGCAAATCACTTGAAGAATATGTATTCTGTATAATGAGAAAATGTGGGTGAAAACAAAAATGAAATAATTTTAAAACAATCTGCCAGTTGGACCTATGTTGCAGGAAACAAAAAACAGCGGCCAGAACAAAAGCACTTAGAGTGCTTAAGAGCAGGTTTTCGCACAGAAAAGAAGACAGCCCACTTCTCTGTCACCGCCTTGAAGGGTGGTGATCGTTAAACTGTGTCAGCGCCTTGTTGGGTGTGTGATCGTCCTGTAGACACTGTCACCGCATTGAAGGGCTTGTGATCGTTATACTGTGTCAGCGCCTTGTTGGGTGTGTGATCGTTATACTGTGTCAGCGCCTTGATGGGTGTGTGATCGTTATACTGTGTCAGCGCCTTGATGGGTGTGTGATCGTTATACTGTGTCAGCGCCTTGTTGGGTGTGTGATCGTTATACTGTGTCAGCGCCTTGATGGGTGTGTGATCGTTATACTGTGTCAGCGCCTTGATGGGTGTGTGATCGTTATACTGTGTCAGCGCCTTGATGGGTGTGTGGTCGTTATACTGTGTCAGCGCCTTGATGGGTGTGTGATCGTTATACTGTGTCAGCGCCTTGATGGGTGTGTGATCGTTATACTGTGTCACACTTGATGGGTGTGTGATCGTTATACTGTGTCAGCGCCTTGTTGGGTGTGTGATCGTTATACTGTGTCAGCGCCTTGATGGGTGTGTGATCGTCCTGTGGACACTGGTTGGTTGGTTGGTTGTTTAACGCCGCACTCAGCAATATTCCAGCTATATGACGGCGGTCTGTAAATAATCGAGCCTTGGCCAGTGATTAATATCATGAGCATCAATCCACGCAGTTGAGTTCGATCACCACCTTGAAGGGTGGGTGATCGTCATACTGTGTAAGCTGCCTTGAAGGGTGGGTGATCGTCATACTGTGTCACCGCCTTGAATGTTAATGCTCGTCATGTGGACACTGTCAGCACCTTGAAGGTGGACGATCGTCCATTGGACACTGTCACCGCCTTGAAGGTGGGCGATCGTCCATTGGACACTGTCACGCGTCGCAGGGTGCGCGATCGTCCATTGGACACTGTCACCGCCTTGAAGGAGGGCGATCGTCCATTGGACACTGTCACCGCCTTGAAGGTGGGCGTTCGTCCATTGGACACTGTCACCGCCTTGAAGGTGGGCGATCACTCGGGTTGGTCCGATACCGCACTGTTGCACACAACTATAATTCCACGCTGATAAGAAGGATGTTTGTCAAATAGATATTTCAAATGGTAATGTTTTCATTGTGTAGTTAACCCATCACTGGTGTTTGAAAGCTTGAAGATAAGTGTTCAACTAAATGACTAATTCAGGAAATGTTCACCGCTATTGTGATATAAGAGCATGACCAGCGCGTAGGAATATGTACATAGAGATACAGGAAAGTGAAATGCCTAGTATTATGAAACTGTTTCAAAACGTCCAGAGGCCGGTGCATAGTCTCCAAAGGCCAAGTTGGCGGTCATGGGTATGGAACCGTCCAAACCAGTGGCTTGGTAGCGACACATTCCCGGGACACAATACACAAACAAACAAACAAACCATATGTGTCCATACCACGACACACCACGAGCTAGTCTGAATGCGATACAGCAAGGACTGATCTTTGTCTATATTATGTTTATCAGATTCATCACACAAACGTTCGACGAACTGGACGATGATTTCTTCCGACACCACTGGTTTGAAATCCATTGTTAGATAGTTATAGCACTTGCTCAGGATATTGTTTTTCAAGAATGTTTGGGGACAATATTGTGTTGACCGCACATCAGGTTACTCGCAATTTACATATACGCTGAGACAGGCCACGCGGTGCACGTGCAATCTAATCCCAAATTACGTATCCACCGTGACAGCGGACGTGTAGCACGAGCGGCCTGCTTGTAACTTACGCAAACACTAAGACTGTGCACCTGTAGCACGTGCACTATACAGTCTCTATACAAACACGAAGACGACGCACCTGTTGCACGTGCAGTCTACAGATAGTCCATACATACACCGCACACGTGCACATGACATCCCAAATCAGTCTATTTGTATAAGTACTGCATCTCTAAGGCAGCTTCGTATTCCCGCGCCTTTAGTCGTAGTGACGTCAGACTGTCAGCTCGTCTGCCATTAGGAACGGTTGCAGGAAGGCATGCTTGGTAATAGAGCAAAGGCGGGATTCCAAAGTGAGGTTGCAGGAGGGTGTACGGCGGTGGCACTATACTGAGTGACGGAGACTTCTCGAGGTCAGGTGATTCGTCACCGGACTTGTCACCCGAATCAACTTTCCTGGACGGTTTCTGAAGCAAAAATATCTTTTTTAACAAAATGTATGTTTTTTTATGCACATTGTTGACATTTCAATAATGTAGGTTTAGCAAGGAGTTTTGAAGTCAGATATTTTTAAAGTTTAACTGCAAACGCGGTCAGCTTGTTTCAGAATGATAAACAAACCAAAGAGTCATATCATGGTTTCTCATTGTTTTCATGCTGTGGCGCGTGTAAACTGTTACCCTGTGTGATGGACACTCTCAATACAGTATGAGCGTGTGTGTGGTGGACGGTCAATACAGTATGCGCGTGTGTGTGGTGGGCTGTCTATACAGTATGCGCGTGTGTGTGGTGGGAGGTCTATACAGTATGAGCGTGTGTATGGTGGGCGGTCAATACAGTATGCGCGTGTGTGTGGTGGGCTGTCTATACAGTATGCGCGTGTGTGTGGTGGGCGGTCAATACAGTATGCGCGTGTGTATGGTGGGCGGTCTATACAGTATGCGCGTGTGTGTGGTGGGCGGTCAATACAGTATGCGCGTGTGTGTGGTGGGCTGTCTATACAGTATGCGCGTGTGTGTGCTGGGCGGTCTATACAGTATGAGCGTGTGTATGGTGGGCGGTCAATACAGTATGCGCGTGTGTGTGGTGGGCTGTCTATACAGTATGCGCGTGTGTGTGGTGGGCGGTCAATACAGTATGCGCGTGTGTGTGGTGGGCGGTCAATACAGTATGCGCGTGTGTGTGGTGGGCGGTCAATACAGTATGCGCGTGTGTGTGGTGGGCGGTCTATACAGTATGCACGTGTGTGTGGTGGGGGGTCAATACAGTATTCGCGTGTGTATGGTGGGCGGTCTATACAGTATGCGCGTGTGTATGGTGGGCGGTCAATACAGTATGCGCGTGTGTGTGGTGGGCGGTCAATACAGTATGCGCATGTGTGTGGTGGGCGGTCAATACAGTATGAGCGTGTGTGTGGTGGGCGGTCAATAGAGTATGCGCGTGTGTGTGGTGGACATTCTCAATAGAGTATGCGCGTGTGTTTGGTGGTAGGTCAATACAGTATGCGCGTGTGCATGGTGGGCGGTCTATACAGTATGCGTGTGTGTGTGGTGGGCGGTCTATACAGTATGCGCGTGTATGTGGTGGGCGGTCTATACAGTATGAGCGTGTGTATGGTGGGCGGTCAATACAGAATGCGCGTGTGTGTGGTGGGCTGTCTATACAGTATGCGCGTGTGTGTGGTGGGCGATCAATAGAGTATGCGCGTGTGTATGATGGGCGGTCTATACAGTATGCATGCGTGTGTGTGGTGGGCGGTCAATACAGTATGCGCGTGTGTGTGGTGGGCGCTCAATACAGTATGCGCGTGTGTGTGGTGGGCGGTCAATACAGTATGCGCGTGTGTGTGGTGGGCGGTCTATACAGTATGCACGTGCGTGTGGTGGGCGGTCTATACAGTATGCGCGTGTGTGTGTTGGGCGGTCAATACAGTATGCGCGTGTGTCTGGTGGGCTGTCTATACAGTATGCGCGTGTGTATGGTGGGCGGTCAATACAGTATGCTCGTGTGTGTGGTGGGCGGTCAATACAGTATGCGCGTGTGTGTGGTGGGCGGTCTATACAGTATGCGCATGTGTGTGGTGGGCGGTCAATAGAGTATGCGCGTGTGTGTGGTGGGCGGTCAATACAGTATGCGTTTGTGTATGGTGGGCGGTCAATACATTATGCGCGTGTGTATGGTGGTCGGTCTATACAGTATGCGCGTGTGTGTGGTGGGCGGTCTATACAGTATGCGCGTGTGTGTGGTGGGCGGTCTATACAGTATGAGCGTGTGTATGGTGGGCGGTCAATACAGAATGCGCGTGTGTGTGGTGGGCTGTCTATACAGTATGCGCGTGTGTGTGGTGGGCGGTCAATACAAAATGCGCGTGTGTATGGTGGACGGTCTATACAGTATGCGCGTGTGTGTGGTGGGCGGTCAATACAGTATGCGCGTGTGTGTGGTGGGCTGTCTATACAGTATGCGCGTGTGTGTGGTGGGCGGTCAATACAGTATGCGCGTGTGTATGGTGGGCGGTCCATACAGTATGCGCGTGTGTGTGGTGGGCGGTCAATACAGTATGCGCGTGTGTGTGGTGGGCGGTCAATACAGTATGCGCGTGTGTGTGGTGGGCGGTCAATACAGTATGCGCGTGTGTGTGGTGGGCGGTCAATACAGTATGCGCGTGTGTGTGGTGGGCGGTCTATACAGTATGCACGTGTGTGTGGTGGGGGGTCAATACAGTATTCGCGTGTGTATGGTGGGCGGTCTATACAGTATGCGCGTGTGTATGGTGGGCGGTCAATACAGTATGCGCGTGTGTGTGGTGGGCGGTCAATACAGTATGCGCATGTGTGTGGTGGGCGGTCAATACAGTATGAGCGTGTGTGTGGTGGGCGGTCAATAGAGTATGCGCGTGTGTGTGGTGGACATTCTCAATAGAGTATGCGCGTGTGTTTGGTGGTAGGTCAATACAGTATGCGCGTGTGCATGGTGGGCGGTCTATACAGTATGCGTGTGTGTGTGGTGGGCGGTCTATACAGTATGCGCGTGTATGTGGTGGGCGGTCTATACAGTATGAGCGTGTGTATGGTGGGCGGTCAATACAGAATGCGCGTGTGTGTGGTGGGCTGTCTATACAGTATGCGCGTGTGTGTGGTGGGCGATCAATAGAGTATGCGCGTGTGTATGGTGGGCGGTCTATACAGTATGCATGCGTGTGTGTGGTGGGCGGTCAATACAGTATGCGCGTGTGTGTGGTGGGCGGTCAATACAGTATGCGCGTGTGTGTGGTGGGCGGTCAATACAGTATGCGCGTGTGTGTGGTGGGCGGTCTATACAGTATGCACGTGCGTGTGGTGGGGGGTCAATACAGTATTCGCGTGTGTATGGTGTGTCGTCTCTACAGTATGCGCGTGTGTATGGTTGGCGGTCAATACAGTATGCGTGTGTGTGTGGTGGGTGGTCAATACAGTATGCGCATGTGTGTGGTGGGCGGTCAATACAGTATGCGCGTGTGTGTGTTGGGCGGTCAATACAGTATGCGCGTGTGTCTGGTGGGCTGTCTATACAGTATGCGCGTGTGTATGGTGGGCGGTCAATACAGTATGCTCGTGTGTGTGGTGGGCGGTCAATACAGTATGCGCGTGTGTGTGGTGGGCGGTCTATACAGTATGCGCATGTGTGTGGTGGGCGGTCAATAGAGTATGCGCGTGTGTGTGGTGGGCGGTCAATACAGTATGCGTTTGTGTATGGTGGGCGGTCAATACATTATGCGCGTGTGTATGGTGGTCGGTCTATACAGTATGCGCGTGTGTGTGGTGGGCGGTCTATACAGTATGCGCGTGTGTGTGGTGGGCGGTCTATACAGTATGAGCGTGTGTATGGTGGGCGGTCAATACAGAATGCGCGTGTGTGTGGTGGGCTGTCTATACAGTATGCGCGTGTGTGTGGTGGGCGGTCAATACAAAATGCGCGTGTGTATGGTGGGCGGTCTATACAGTATGCGCGTGTGTGTGGTGGGCGGTCAATACAGTATGCGCGTGTGTGTGGTGGGCGGTCAATACAGTATGCGCGTGTGTGTGGTGGGCGGTCTATACAGTATGCGCGTGTGTGTGGTGGGCGGTCTATACAGTATGCGCGTGTGTATGGTGGGCGGTCTATACAGTATGCGCGTGTGTGTGGTAGGCGGTCTATGCAGTATGCGTTTGTGTATGGTGGGCGGTCAATACAGTATGCGCGTGTGTGTGGTGGGCTGTCTATACAGTATGCGCCTGTATGTGGTGGGCGGTCTATACAGTATGCGCGTGTGTGTGGTGGGCGGTCTATACAGTATGCGCCTGTGTATGGTAGGCGCTCTATACAGTATGCGCGTGTGTTGTGGGCGGTCTATACAGTATGCGCGTGTGTGTGGTGGGCTGTCTATACAGTATGCGCGTGTGTGTGGTGGGCGGTCAATACAGTATGCGCGTGTGTGTGGTGGGCGGTCAATACAGTATGCGCATGTGTGTGGTGGGCGGTCAATACAGTATGCGCGTGTGTGTGGTGGGCGGTCAATAGAGTATGCGCGTGTGTGTGGTGGACATTCTCAATAGAGTATGCGCGTGTGTTTGGTGGGCGGTCAATACAGTATGCGCGTGTGTGTGGTGGGCGGTCAATACAGTATGCGCGTGTGTGTGGTGGGCGGTCAATACAGTATGCGCATGTGTGTGGTGGGCGGTCAATACAGTATGCGCGTGTGTGTGGTGGGCGGTCAATAGAGTATGCGCGTGTGTGTGGTGGACATTCTCAATAGAGTATGCGCGTGTGTTTGGTGGGCGGTCAATACAGTATGCGCGTGTGCATGGTGGGCGGTCTATACAGTATGCGCGTGTGTGTGGTGGGCGGTCTATACAGTATGCGCGTGTGTGTGGTGGGCGGTCAATACGGTATGCGCGTGTGTATGGTGGCCGGTTTATATAGTATGCGCGTGTGTGTGGTGGGCGGTCAATACAGTATGCGCGCGTGTATGCTGACGGTCTTTACCACATGCACGTGTGTATGGTGGACAGCCTCTATACTGTATGCATACGTGTATGGTGAATAACCTCTATACTGTATGCGTGCGTGTATGGTGGACAGTCTCTATACTGTATGCACGCGTGTATGGTGAACAAACTCTATACTGTATGCACGTGTGTATGGTGAACAACCTCTATACTGTATGCACGCGCGTATAGTGGACAGCCTCTCTACTGTATGCACGGGTGAATCGTGAACAACCTCTATACTGTATGCACGTGTTTATGGTGGACAGCCTCTATACTGTATGCACGTGTGTATGGTGAACAACCTCTATCCTCTATGCACGTGTGTATGGTGGACAGCCTCTATACTGTATGCACGTGTGTATGGTGAACAACCTCTATACTGTATGCACGTCTGTATGGTGAACAACCTCTATACTGTATGCACGTGTGTAGTTTAGACAGCCTCTATACTGTATGCACGTGTGTATGGTGGACAGCCTCTATACTGTATGCACGTGTGTATGGTGGACAGCCTCTATACTGTATGCACGTCTGTATGGTGAACAACCTCTATCCTCTATGCACGTGTGTATGGTCGACAGCCTCTATACTGTATGCACGTGTGTATGGTGAACAACCTCTATACTGTATGCACGTCTGTATGGTGAACAACCTCTATACTGTATGCACGTGTGTAGTTTAGACAGCCTCTATACTGTATGCACGTGTGTATGGTGGACAGCCTCTATACTGTATGCACGTGTGTATGGTGGACAGCCTCTATACTGTATGCACGTGTGTATGGTGGACAGTCTCTATACTGTATGCACGTGTGTATGGTGGACAGCCTCTATACTGTATGCACGCGTGTATGGTGGACAGCCTCTATACTGTATGCACGCGTATATGGTGAACACCCTCTATACTGTATGCACGCGTGTATGGTGGACAGCCTCTATACTGTATGCACGCGTGTATGGTGGACAGCCTCTATACTGTATGCACGCGTGTATGGTGGACAGCCTCTATACTGTATGCACGCGTATATGGTGGACAGCCTCTATACTGTATGCACGCGTGTATGGTGGACAGCCTCTATACTGTATGCACGCGTGTATGGTGGACAGCCTCTATACTGTATGCACGCGTATATGGTGGACAGCCTCTATACTGTATGCACGCGTGTATGGTGGACAGCCTCTATACTGTATGCACGCGTGTATGGTGGACAGCCTCTTTACTGTATGCACGCGTGTATGGTGGATAGCCTCTATACTGTATGCACGCGTATATGGTGAACACCCTCTATACTGTATGCACGCGTGTATGGTGGACAGCCTCTATACTGTATGCACGCGTGTAAACACCCTCTATAATATATGCACGTGTGTATGGAAGTGTGTATGCATGTACCTTCTCCTCGTCTAGTCTGATGACGGTCTTTGGTGCGGGGACAAAGCTGACCTCCTTCAAGTCCTGTAGGCCCCCGAAGTTCCCAAGCTTTTCGTGCTTCCGCCACTTGGCCCGCCTGTTCTGGAACCAGATCTGAGGAGAGGTAAACAGAGGATTACAGGACTGCGTGTATAGTACGCACTCTCCACACAATCACTGCTACAAATTCCACTGTCTCCTCGGCCGCTGCATCATGTATCTGTCCAGGCTCTCCATCGAGTCCTAGGTGCCTCCATCCTTTCTCAAGTGGACTCTCCTCGGACATATTTCTCCCCAGGCACTACCCCAGACCCACGCACGCACGCACGCACGCACGCACGCCAACCCATTGTACCACTTTACGCCACCCTTCTCACCTGTACTCTCTCCTCTGACAGACCGGTCTTCCTTGATAGGTCGTCCCGTGTGTTGATGTCGGGGTAGTGAGTCACCTGGAACACCTGCTCCAATGCCTTCAGCTGCTCGGAGGTGAAGGTCGTTCGAAAACGTCTCTTCTTGGACACTGGTCCTTCTGTTCCCACTGCAAGAAAGGTTTAATGGATGTTAGATATCACAATACCGACAGACTAGACACTCAAAATATGTAACTGCAATGTGATTCTAATCCTGCATTGGTGAAGATAACGACAGAACTCACCCCCATCAGGACTCCGCTTAGTCCCTCTACTCATCACGTAGTCTTCCCCTGCCGCTGCTACCCGAGGGTCGCCGGTGTCCGCCTGTGATAGGGACAAGTGAAGCGGGTCCACATGACTGTGGGTTTGGGGTAGACAGCTGCTACCCGGGATGGGGCTGTCCTCGGAACTCTCCGAACAATGGAGGGAGGAACATCTTGGTGTGTCTGAATCCTCTGGAAGCAAAGCAGTGATGTCATAGATAGTCTTGGTCTTCTGGATCCCAACACACCCATATTGAAAATATGGCTTTGTGAATATCAGTTTTAAGACATATATACATATATATAAAGCTTTGGGACCTGAACTAGATTGAGTGATTTACACTTTAGAATTTATCATTTGTTTGTATCACTATACCATGTAGGAAATTAATGAACAACAATTATGAACTGCAATAAAACAATATAATTCTAGGACAGCACATCATTACAATTCTATAAAATGTTATAGATTGGGTGAAATCTCGTAAACCTGTCTCTCTGAATGCCTCCCTCAAAAGCAATTAGGGGACACATAATTTAACATTCAGCTCACAAGAACGCCGGCACTGATCCTACAAATTTATCTGTCACCTGTTATCTACGTAATTTAAACAGGCGCGTATCTTATGGAGAATTAGCGATGCCCAAATCATTGACTTGAGGGACAAAGTTGAGCTACATCCACCGGTCACAGGCGTTGCGTTGTTTAGTCCTGAATTGTACAGCACCGCAACAGTATCACACAGATAAGCCCTGCTCAATCAGGTGGTAATCCGCAGCGACCTGCTAATCCTTGCGTCCATACACATCACAGAGGCAAACTGATCTTCATGTAGGCGAGAATTAGGCAGACATAACACAATTTCTACTATATTGCTCTTTGTTTAATATATGTGTGTTCTTTTATAAGACCATTTATCAAAGGCATAAGTTATTTCAGTTGACAGTGAGTGTGCTTTTATGCCGATATTCAACATATACTGCTATAGTTTCACAGCAGGGAACACCAGAAATGGTTGTAGCCTTTTGTTGAATCAAACCGGGGGTTTCGACTAGAACACTTAAACCACTCGCTAGGCTACCCAACCGACAAAAACGGCTGATGCGGCGAAAAACAACACTCACCCACTCACTTATTCTACACATTGCATATTGTGATTAGGTTTCACCTGAACTGATCTACAAGTAGATTTCTGCGGTGGGCGTGTTTATCTGCCTGGTATTCAATTCACACCTGATAACAAGTCAAACTGGTTGGTCCTAACAGCCTCATATAGCTTATGTGAACAACACAATATGTTTCTGTTTTCATTATCTCGTTATTAGAGCGATTATCTCAGCCTGTCCAATCAAAACGTCGCGAGATTTAAGGTATCTCCAGCGTCACTATGAGTCTCTCTGTCTCTCTTTCATCCGAGCCATTCATCAATCCGCCATCTTGATTTTCACGTCAGCGACTGCAGTTCAAAGTCGTACAATGTTTTATGGTTCAAAGATCGAGTGAGATGATCGCTTTTTGTTCAGCGATCAAAGCCGACTCTAATTTAATTACAAAATTCTCAACCGGAACTCATCATAAACATGTCATAACTTTGATAAAAGAGAAAATATTCGGCACAATCGAACGCCATTTCAAACTGCCGTGTTTCCAAGCAGCGCACACGCTTCGAGGAACCTTCTTATAATCCGCACAAATAGGGACATTCATTGGAGCTATAAAGCTTTCGGGTTGTCCCTTATCTCAATTTAGAGTTAGATTTATTCTTTGTTTAAAAATTCCTCCTTTGATTTCAGGTTCCTGTGGCGTTCTTCATGTGGTGGGAAAACAAGCTTTAAACTCGGCATTTTATGAAGGCTTGTTGACACGTTTTGATTTAACACTGTAATAGTTGTGATAACTGCCAAGCGGGCCACACCGTCTACTATTGGGCATTCTAACGGGTCAACAGATACTAAAGCTCCTGAACAAGCAGATCTTAATTATTGAGTAAACACTGTTACGGCATAACCCAGCCACTTCACAAAACGAGGTAAAAAATATAAGGTTAAGAGTGTTTTGAGATTGCGCTCTTGACCCTTAGAGCAGCGTGAGAGTGGCAAGTGGAGCACAGAATCGGTACGCCGTACGTGTCGCATTATCCAACTCCCTAGGGGGAAAGTGGTGACACACTGTCCGTAATCTACAATACATAAATCATTGGAATTTCATCCTGATTTATTTAAACACGATTCAGGGATGTTTAACTGTTATGTGATCTTGATAGCGAACTTTATTCCCCTTTTTGGCTTATTCCCGTGTCTTAACCGGTATGCGAGGATAGATGTCTATTCGTCGTGTTTCTACCTGTATGCGAGGATAGATGTCTATTCGTTGTGTTTCTACCTGTATGCGAGGATAGATGTCTACTCTCCGTGTTTCCATCTGTATGCGAGAATAGATGTCTATTCCTCGTGTTTCTACCTGTATGAAAAGATGTCTACTCTTCGTGTTTCTACCTGTATGAATAGATGTCTATTCCTCGTGTTTCTACCTGTATGCGAGGATAGATGTCTATTCCTCGTGTTTCTACCTGTTTGCAAAAATAGATGTCTACTCCCCGTGTTTCTACCTATATGCGAGAATTGATGTCTATTCCTCGTGTTTCTATCTGTTTGCAAGAATAGTTGTCTACTCCTCGTGTTTCTACCTATATGAATAGATGTCTACTCCCCTTGTTTCTACATATATGCGAGAATTGATATCTATTCCTCGTGTTTCTACCTGTATGCGAGGATAAATTTCTGATGAGGTTATTTAGCGCCCCGACCCAGTGTTTTGTAGAAAGTTTGTTTTCCGTAGTGGGACATCACAACAGAGCTTTCCCATTGGTCATTTAAAAATATAACTTCCGGTTGTATAAGACACATCCTGCCGGCCAACAAACAATTGCTTTTGTCAATATTACAATAAAGGGTCTAGAAATGCACCTACAGGAAATGAATGAGTTGACAAATATATCTTCCGAGGGAAGACGTAAATTAATTTCCTCAATAAAACATTTCTACTTCTCGTTTTCCCACCGATCCGAGTTAGTTATGAAGTCGTTTATTTGTCAGGCGCTATACTTGTAAGCGTCGCCAGTACCAAATAATCACACAGTACTTAATTATTCTAACCAGGGACACTATACAAAGAGACACCCTGGTCTAACACATTCACAGCAAAACAAGCAGGGAAGAAGTCAGTCTGGAAACCCATTCACATGCAAGTGCTACAAGTGGTTTGCCTGCTATGCACAAGGTCGTCCATTCAGCAGAAGTCGCCCGGCACTGACACAACAAGAACAATTGCCTTCTATATAAAACTTGTAGATTGCTTGTCACCAACTACCAACAATCACACATCAATATCACATTGTACATTGCAGCCTGAGACGACCCGACAGTACCGCAGTTTTCGTGCTGCATTGATTCCACTTAGAGTCAGGGTTGGCGCTAATTAATTACCCTGCATACCTGTCCATGTGAACGCTGCCCTAGCCCTAATTGCACTTATCGATTATAGCACCTTTCCCGTGGTCCTCTGTCATTTCCGGAACAAGCCAAATTAATTTGTCATCAGGTTTTCCGCCGTATTATGCCGATATCGAACAGGCTATTGCTACTAATTAGACCCAAATTATCATTTTAATGATCCATGTGCACTTAATTTTCCGCATTGTTATTTTCAGTCTACACGTGCCCGTGCGTTGTTGGGCCCTGGTTTACTGTGCAGCACACACTGACAATGGGCAAATACGCCCCAATCACAAAAAATACAGTTTTCGGTGGTGAAAAAATGAGTTTGCAAACAGTAAAAATGTTCTTGGTATATTAATACATCTGACAAGATGTCCAGGGAGATCGTTCAGTTTGACGTAGATACGTATATATGAGTATAAGAAATATTAAACTGACAAAGGAGAAAAGAGGTCGTTTCATTTCTTTGAGGCGGACATTATTCCAGTCATTACCTAAAAACACTGAAAACGTTTATCACGTGACCGAGGAGCCGAACCACACGTGGTTTCTTTCAGTACATCAAACTTTTGTTTGTAAAACTTGAAGCAATATTATTATTTTTTATCATACTTTTATGGAATAATATTTTATTTAATCGAAAAATCCCATCGTAATCCTTGCAGAATCCGTAACAGTGGTAACATAACGAAGGTTAATAAATTAGCTGAAACTTAAAGTTACACACTCGAAATCCATTTACATCATTAGAGGACGGGGCACAATTCGCTGTGCAAAGTTGCGTGCTCGAAACCTATGGGTTCGAATCCCAGATTCTCCTTGATAAATGTTTCTCGGTTTGACCATATAAGTCAAACGTCTAGGACCTGCGCAATTAGGGGCTTTGATGGGTGTGCGGGGAGGGTCACCAAAAGAAATTAGTCTCTAAGGGGAGGGTCATCAAAAAATATATAACGCATATTTGGGGATGATCATGACAAAAATGAACAAGGATATGGAGAGATCATCCAAAAATATGACAAGCATATATGATGGTCATCCAAACCCCACCCAAACCCCCACCCAAACCCCCACCCCACCTTCACCCGCAATAAACGACCGATCCCAATAATTGCAATATTGTTCGAAGTTGTGTCAAACCAAACTCACAAATCTGTAGTTGTAATATAATTTCTGTCATCCGAGGCCACCAGCAGTACCGGTCAAATGAGGTTGAAGTACCCATCCTTCCGTGTCACTTCAAACGATTATATGCAGACATGAAGGCGCGCACATTTCCGATTGATTCCGCAAATGCCCGATGATTCCCGATGACGTGTCTTTACATTGAGGAACAAATGCATTCATTATTAAAACCAGTGTTGATTTATATCCTCCAGTATTTAATCATCTAATAGTAAACACGTTTTTGAAAAAAATCAGCGAACTATTTCTAGTAATTAGAGTCACTTAGCTAATTAGGTGTCTCCAGACCTATTGTATACATACTCCTGATCGATTGAGCGTGTGTGAAATATGCATATAGAAGCTACACGCAGGTCTTGATGCACGGCTAAAACACACAAGTATAAATATATCAACGCAACATCGCACATATTGACAACATGTCTCAATAAGGTGCATAACTCTAATTTTAAATTTCCCAAGTTAATTAATTAGCGACTGTACATTAGAGTAGATTGGGAGCCCACACC